CAAATCCGCGCCCTCCCCCCCAGCTCCCTGAGACCCGGAGGTGCGGTGCGGGGAGTGCAGAGGGCAAGGTGGAGGATCTCAGAGAGAGGAAGACTGAGCCCTTGAGACCTATGGAGACAGACAGAGGGACGGACAGACAGACCTGGGGTATGGGGTGAGAAGGGGGTTCGGGAAAGAGCTGGAGAGGGAGGGGCAGAAGGGAGAGACAAAGGAGAGAGACCCTGAGGAAGGGGGGAGGTGAGGAGTGGGTCCAACCAAGGATGCAAGTTGCAGTGCCAGGAGAAGGCCACCTTAGGCAGATGTAAAGTGATACAAAGAAATATAGAGTGCTCTGGGCTGTGGAAACCACCTCTCAAAGCACCTGCCCCACACACTCTCCCTCCTGGCTGGTCATGACCTTCAAGCGCTCCCCTCACCCCAGGCCCCTAGCTCCAAAGGAGGTTGACCAGACTGTACCCGGGCTAGACTCTAAGAAGAACTTCCTAGCCATAAGGCTCCTGCAGAGCAAGATTCCACCTCTCTGAGATGTAATAAAGGGCCCCTACCCATAGTGATCTAAGGAGACCAGGGGCTGAGGAGAAGAGGGAGGGCGAGCAGGCCCCGTGCCTGGGAGAAGGGAAATCGGATTAGAGTCAGGCCTTGCCACAGGTGGCCACTTTCCACCTCTCTCCTTCCACTCCAACCACTAGGGGCTGGGCTGTTCACCACAGTCATCTCCTTCCCACCTCCAGACCTTTGCAGATATTCCAGCCTCTGCCTAGTGGGGCCTTGATCATGCTGTGCTTAATGAACTCCTACTCAACCCTCAAATTCCTGCTTAAATGCCCTTTCCTACACAAAGCCTTCTCTCACCTTCTTTCCACTCACGCACACACAGACACGTAGGGACTCTCCTCTTAGGGAGCAGAGAGAGCAACAGGCACACTCCCACCTCAGGGCCTTTGCATTTGCTGACCTATGAGAGGCATCTGACATATTCAGGGTGGCAGTCACTGGAGGTGCGGGATCTGAGCCATGGTTAGTCTCCCTTTCTTCAAGCTGGGCTACAGCTGGAGCTAGGGTTTCATCAACTATGATGACTCCTCTGCTATTAATTGTGCATTTGCCACGTGCCAGAGTCCACACTAAGTGCTTTCCATGTGTCAAATTTAACCTTCAAAACAATCCTACAACTCATTTTACAGATGAGAAAACTGAGGCTCCAAGAGCATAAGTCACTTGCTCAAGGTCCCAGGAGGTCTGAACCTATGGACACAGCTGGACAGTTGAGAGGGCACTCAGACCATACCCCTTCACTGCCCATCAAACCCTAGGATATTCCCACAGAGCCCAGAAACAAACACCCTCTGTGCAGGTGCCCAGGATCTTCTCGAAGGGCACAGAGGGAGTATGGCTTCCCTACTGTCTTATACCCTGCTCTCTAAAACCTGTAGGCAGGGAAGGGTGGCAACCAGCAGGAGCTGTGAAGGCAAGTGGAGGTGACAAGGCTTTGATTCCACACTCCTCCTCCTAAGAACCCATGACCCCAAGGCACAGCTGGATCACCTTTCTGGGCTTCCGTTTCCTCATCTGCCCAATGAGGATGGTAACAGGCCCCTTTTTTGGGGGCCAGGGTGGGAACAAAAGGAGCTAATGTGCTAGAGCCCACCCACACAAGATCCTGCACACAGACAGACTCAACAGGCCACGGTTATTCCAGTTGTAATGTTGATTTACTCACAAAATGGACTATTTAATTTCTGTCCACCCGATGGACTCTGAGCCCCCTGGAGTCAAGATCGGCCTTGTTCACAATGTATCCTCAGCACGTAACACACAGTATGGCATAATAAACGACATGGAAGGAAAGGAGGGAAGGAGGAAGGAGGGAGGGAGAGAGAAAGAGAGACAGCTGCCTCTCCACCTAGCCTGGGCTGGCCAGTGCACAGAACTGGCCTGGATATGCTCCCCATCCTGTTGCTAGAGCCAAGAGACTTGGGGTCTAGTCTGGCCTCTGCACCTCCTGGCTGTGTGGCCTTAGGCAGCTGTACTCCCCTGACCCTCACTTTCCCTCTATCAAGTGGAACCAGCTCAGAGGGCTCAAAGGGCTGTCTCAAGGCCACAGGTGGGCTGTGTGTGTGAGTGCTTCAGGTGCCACAGACATGGGATGGTTATTGTTATTATTCCTTTTGCCTCTTGAAAGAGAGCAGGGTCAGTGTCCCCCTACCTGGCAGCCAAAGTGCACTATGCTCCCTGCATCCCTCCAGGGGAAGAGGCAGCAGCAGCAGCTTCTCCCCATCCCCCCAGTGACTTCTCTTTCCTCTCCCACCCCGCCTCCTCACCTGAGGGGGTCCCAGGAAGGCAGGTGCTGAAGGCTGGATCACAGAGGGGCTCCTCCCTGCTTTACCACCTGGTCCTCGCTCGTCTCCAGGGAGAGCACAAGAAGGAAAAGAACAGGAGGGCCCGGTTGCATTGGGAGTGGACATGAGTCCTGGCCAACAGCAGGGGCACAGCTCCCCGCCCACACAGCCCACCACAGCCTGTGCCACCGTGAGGCCTCTCTCTGATGCCCTGCCACCCTGGGCCCAGGCAGGGCCTCCTGCTCTTCCTCAGCCTGAGCTGGGTGGAGACATCCAGGGTGGAGAAGAGGCCAGAACCTGAAACCAGTCAACTGGAGGAACTCATTTGGGTCCAACCCTGGGCCCAGAGGAGGCTTGGCTGGGAGGGCCCCTAAAACACCCAATTCTCCCATCTTCCAGCTGGGAGACTGAGACCCTGGAAGGGAGGCTGGGTAGGGACTCCCCAGACCAATCCTGGAGTGCTCAGTGGGCACCCACTGTGTGCTCAGCCCTGTTCTAACCTGCCCTGCTCCCAGCACCCACCTACTCAATGTCCTTTCCTGATACTTCCCACCTCCAAATGCCAAAGCACCACAGGGCTCAGGGATCACCCTGCCTTCAAAGCCCAGCTACACCCTGATGATTCTCTTTTCCCCCTGAAATCGGATCCAGATAGATACCCAAGTGATACCCTGAAGTCTCCACTAGGATGTCCAAAGAGCAACTCCACCTTAACCCAACTCAAACTGACCTCCTCCTCCTCTTAGCAGTAAATATCACCACCATCCTTCCATTAGCTCAGCCAAAAACCTGGGAGTCATCTTTCCCTCTCTTTCTCTCATACCCCACAACCAATCTTTAAGCAAATCCTGTCAGATTTACTTTCAACATATGTGCCAAATTGGCCACTTCTCATCACCTCTGCTGCTACCACCCTGGCCTGAGCCACCATCATCTCTCACCTGTATTATCACTGGAGCCTCCTAATCGGTCCCCCTGCTTCCATCCAGCCCCACTACTGACATTCCCAACACCGCAGCCAAAGGGATCCTGTTAAAGAGAAGTCGGATCATTTCACTCCCCTGCTCAAAATCCTCTAATGGCTCCCATGTCAGCCAAACTAAGTCTTTACACTCGCTACAAAGTCTTATGTGATCTGGCCCCCACTACCTCCCTGACCTCACTTCCCTCCAGCCACACTGGCTTCCTTGCTGTTCTTCTAAGTCACCAAACATACCCCAGGTCCCTTACACTTGCTATTCCCTGCCAGAGCACACCTTTCATAGGTATCTGCATGGTCCATTCTCACTGGGCCCTGGTTGTGAGGGCCAGCAGGTGTGTGGTAAGGGGATGGTCACCTGGGGAAGTGCAAGGCCATGGGCAGGAGAGAAAGGAGACTGCTCAAGCCCTGAGAGCTGCCTGTCCTCCCCCCTTCCCCCAGCAAATATGGCTCCTGCCAGCATTGGTCCAAGGCTGGGGGACAAAGCCCCACTGGGAGTGCCAGGGACTTGCAGTGCTTAGAGCCAGCCAGTCGCGGCCCAGGGCACAGGCAAAGCCTGGCCCAGAACTTCATCTGAGGGCCTTTGTGGGCCTCTGGGAGCCTATCCAGAAGAATGCTGGGAACTGGCCAGGGTGGCATGGGGAGGTTCAGCTCACTCTCCAGGCCCAGGATGATAGGGAGCTAGGCGGAGGACCTCTTCTGCTCCCCCTCAAATCCCTACCCCTGGGGAAGTAACTCCACAGCGTC